TATCTAAATACTGTTCACTTATATGTTTCACTGTAAACACCTGGTCCACACACCCCCTACCTTTCCTAAAGCCTCCTTGTTCATCTGCTATCCTATTCTCCGTCTTACTCTTAATTCTTTCAATAATAACTCTACCATACACTTTACCAGGTATACTCAGCAGACTTATCCCCTATAATTTTTGCACTCTCTTTTTATCCCCTTTGCCTTTATACAAAGGAACTATGCATGCTCTCTGCCAATCCCAGGTACCTTACCCTCTTCCATACATTTATTAAATAATTGCACCAACCACTCCAAAACTATATCCCCACTGCTTTTAACATTTCTATTCTTTATCCCATCAATCCCGGCTGCCTTACCCCCTTTCATTTTACCTACTGCCTCACGAACTTCCCCCACACTCACAACTGGCTCTTCCTCACTCCTACAAGATGTTATTCCTCCTTGTCCTATACACGAAATCACAGCTTCCCTATCTTCATCAACATTTAACAATTCCTCAAAATATTCCCTCCATCTTCCCAATACCTCTAACTCTCCATTTAATAACTCTCCTCTCCTATTTTTAACTGACAAATCCATTTGTTCTCTAGGCTTTCTTAACTTGTTAATCTCACTCCAAAACTTTTTCTTATTTTCAACAAAATTTGTTGATAACATCTCACCCACTCTCTCATTTGCTCTTTTTTTTACATTGCTTCACCACTCTCTAACCTCTCTCTTTTTCTCCATATACTCTTCCCTCCTTGCATCACTTCTACTTTGTAAAAACTTCTCATATGCTAACTTTTTCTCCCTTACTACTCTCTTTACATCATCATTCCACCAATCGCTCCTCTTCCCTCCTGCACCCATTTTCCTGTAACCACAACTTCTGCTGAACACTCTAACACTACATTTTTAAACCAAACCCCATACCTCTTCGACCCCATTGCCTATGCTCTCATTAGCCCATCTATCCTCTAATAGCTGTTTATATCTTTCCCTAACTGCCTCCTCTTTTAGTTTATAAACCTTCACCTCTCTCTTCCCTGATGCTTCTATTCTCCTTGTATCCCATCTACCTTTTACTCTCAGTGTAGCTACAACTAGAAAGTGATCTGATATATCTGTGGCCCCTCTATAAACATGTACATCCTGAAGTCTACTCAACAGTCTTTTATCTACCAATACATAATCCAACAAAGTACTGTCATTTCACCCTACATCATATCTTGTATACTTATTTATCCTCTTTTTCTTAAAATATGTATTACCTATAACTAAACCCCTTTCTATAATACAAAGTTCAATCAAAGGGCTCCCATTATCATTTACACCTGGCACCCCAAACTTGCCTACCACACCCTCTCTAAAAGTTTCTCCTACTTTAGCATTCAGGTCCCCTACCACAATTACTCTCTCACTTGGTTCAAAGGCTCCTATACATTCACTTAACATCCCCCAAAATCTCTCTCTCTCCTCTGCATTCCTCTCTTCTCCAGGTGCATACACGCTTATTATGACCCACTTCTCGCATCCAACCTTTACTTTAATCCACATAATTCTTGAATTTACACATTCATATTCTCTTTTCTCCTTCCATAACTGATCATTCAACATTACTGCTACCCCTTCCTTTGCTCTAACTCTCTCAGATACTCCAGATTTAATCCCATTTATTTCCCCCCACTGAAACTCCCCTACCCCCTTCAGCTTTGTTTCGCTTAGGGCCAGGACATCCAACTTCATTTCATTCATAACATCAGCAATCATCTGTTTCTTGTCATCCGCACTACATCCACACACATTTAAGCATCCCAGTTTTATAAAGTTTTTCTTCTTCTCTTTTTTAGTAAATGTCTACAGGTGGAGGGGTTACTAGCCCATTGCTCCCGGCATTTTAGTCGCCTCATACGACACGCATGGCTTACGGAGGAAAGGTTCTTTTCCACTTCCCCATGGACAATAGAAGAAATACACACTTTCTACTGCCTCAAAATATCATTACTCACTGTGTTACTCCCCTAGCCTTAGGACCCCATAATTAAATGCTCACAGATCAGATGAAGAGTTTTTACGAGGATAGTGAGGCTCAAGTTAGAGTATGTAGGAAAGAGGGAAATTTTTTCCCAGTAAAAGTAGGCCTTAGACAAGGATGTGTGATGTCACCGTGGTTGTTTAATATATTTATAGATGGGGTTGTAAGAGAAGTAAATGCGAGGGTCTTGGCAAGAGGCGTGGAGTTAAAAGATAAAGAATCACACACAAAGTGGGAGTTGTCACAGCTGCTCTTTGCTGATGACACTGTGCTCTTGGGAGATTCTGAAGAGAAATTGCAGAGATTTGTGGATGAATTTGGTAGGGTGTGCAAAAGAAGAAAATTAAAGGTGAATACAGGAAAGAGTAAGGTTATGAGGATAACAAAAAGATTAGGTGATGAAAGATTGAATATCAGATTGGAGGGAGAGAGTATGGAGGAGGTGAACGTATTCAGATATTTGGGAGTGGACGTGTCAGCAGATGGTTCTTTGAAAGATGAGGTGAATCATAGAATTGATGAGGGAAAAAGAGTGAGTGGTGCACTTAGGAGTCTGTGGAGACAAAGAACTTTGTCCTTGGAGGCAAAGAGGGGAATGTATGAGAGTATAGTTTTACCAATGCTCTTATATGGGTGTGAAGCATGGGTGATGAATGTTGCAGCGAGGAGAAGGCTGGAGGCAGTGGAGATGTCATGTCTGAGGGCAATGTGTGGTGTGAATATAATGCAGAGAATTCGTAGTTTGGAAGTTAGGAGGAGGTGCGGGATTACCAAAACTGTTGTCCACAGGGCTGAGGAAGGGTTGTTGAGGTGGTTCGGACATGTAGAGAGAATGGAGCGAAACAGAATGACTTCAAGAGTGTATCAGTCTGTAGTGGAAGGAAGGCGGGGTAGGGGTCGGCCTAGGAAAGGTTGGAGGGAGGGGGTAAAGGAGGTTTTGTGTGCGAGGGGCTTGGACTTCCAGCAGGCATGCGTGAGCGTGTTTGATAGGAGTGAATGGAGACAAATGGTTTTTAATACTTGACGTGCTGTTGGAGTGTGAGCAAAGTAACATTTATGAAGGGATTCAGGGAAACCGGCAGGCCGGACTTGAGTCCTGGAGATGGGAAGTACAGTGCCTGCACTCTGAAGGAGGGGTGTTAATGTTGCAGTTTAAAAACTGTAGTGTAAAGCACCCTTCTGGCAAGACAGTGATGGAGTGAATGATGGTGAAAGTTTTTCTTTTTCGGGCCACCCTGCCTTGGTGGGAATCGGCCAGTGTGATAATAAAAAAAAAAAATAAGATCAATAAATTCTTATATCTAACCTAATGCAAATATTAATTTTTTTTATTATTATTAACACACTGGCCGATACCCACCAAGGCAGGGTGTCCCGAAAAAGAAAAACTTTCGCCATCATTCACTCCATCACTGTCTTGCCAGAAGGGTGCTTTACACTACAGTTTTTAAACTGCAACATTAACACCCCTCCTTCAGAGTGCAGGCACTGTACAGTGGACCCCCGCTTAACGATCACCTCCAAATGCGACCAATTATGTAAGTGTATTTATGTAAGTGCGTTTGTACGTGTATGTTTGGGGGTCTGAAATGGACTAATCTACTTCACAATATTCCTTATGGGAAAAAATTCGGTCAGTACTGGCACCTGAACATACTACTGGAATGAAAAAAGTTCGTTAACCGGGGGTCCACTGTACTTCCCATCTCCAGGACTCAAGTCCGGCCTGCCGGTTTCCCTGAATCACTTCATAAATGTTACTTTGCTCACACTCCAACAGCACGTCAAGTATTAAAACCATTTGTCTCCATTCACTCCTATCAAACACGCTCCCACATGCCTGCTGGAAGTCCAAGTCCCTCGCACACAAAACCTCCTTTACCCCCTCCCTCCAGCCTTTCCTAGGCCGACCCCTACCCCACCTTCCTTCCACTACAGACTGACACACTCTTGAAGTCATTCTGTTTCACTCCATTCTCTCTACATGTCCGAACCACCTCAACAACCCTTCCTCAGCCCTCTGGACAACAGTTTTGGTAATGCCGCACCTCCTCCTAACTTCCAAACTACGAATTCTCTGCATTATATTCACACCACACATTGCCCTCAGACATGACATCACTGCCTCCAGCCTTCTCCTCGCTGCAACATTCATCACCCAGCGAGGAGAAGGCTGGAGGCATTGGAGATGTCATGTCTGAGGGCAACATGTGGTGTGAATATAGTGCAGAGAATTTGTAGTTTGGAAGTTAGGAGGAGGTGCGGGATTACCAAAACTGTTGTCCAGAGCAAATATTTATTGCTCTGGACAACAGATAACTTATATCTCATAAAGGCATAACCCAGTTGTATAATTAGAGAAACCTTATCAAACTATGTTTTTATAGCATTACCTAATAGAATAATCCATTCTCTTGAATGCACTGTAACTCATCTAATGACCATATGAACTGTTACTGCACTACGGATCATTGATTTGATTTGATTAGATCTGATTATTGAATTATACGACTACATATAGTAAATTGATCATTTTCTTAATATTACTAACTGTAATGTTACAAAATTGTAAAACTACTATAATGCTTCAAACTTGAAATGTTCAAATTCATTGTTTAAAATAACTAATTTGTACTTGATATTGTAAATTGTCTACAGTAACTGTTGCCATTAAATCTGTTATAGCTTAGATAGTCTTAAGTTAATTTTAAGCCTGCCTGTAATGCTCTGCATACAAGGGGCTTTCGACATGTACACCGAACTACTATAATACCTTGTACAACTATGTATCATGTCCTAATAAAATATTATTATTATTATTATTATTATTATAATGATTATTATTAGGTGGTTGCTATCAACCTACTACCATCATTTCATGTATAACATATATGTGCAGTATTTTATTTTCTAGTAATTGCCTGAACATTGTTTCTATATTTTATTGCCTTAGTATTTTTTAAGTTAATCTTTGCAGACTGTGTTTGCAGCAGTTGAAGCTAATGATGGTGGCAACAGTATTATAGCTGTAGATGATGTTGCAATGTTAGATAGAGACTGCCCAGCAGCTGCCACATGCACATTTGAAGATGGCTACTGTGACTGGAGCAATATTAGAGGTTCTGATACTATGGACTGGGTGATGAACAGTGGCTACACACCTACAGCAAACACTGGGCCAAATTATGATCACACTCTTCATACAGTGTATGGTGAGTTCATGCATGACTCCTGATGCAACAGAATTGTGCTTTGTCTTAATCCTTACGAGGTCCATGCCATAGTACTACGCGATGAGCTCAGCTCACTCAGATAGGCAATGAGCAGTAAATCTGGGCCTAGATATGAGAGAATGGGTCTGTGCAGTGAGTGTGCACCATATAGAAAAAAATCCTGGCTCATGCAGTGTGTTTTTGGATGGTTTTTATGGTTGTATTCTAGCTTTCTTGGTATCATTTGATAGAATGGAAGTTTTTTTTTTTTTTTTTTAACAAGTCAGCTGTCTCCCACCGAGGCAGGGTGACCCAAAAAGAAAGAAAATCTCCAAAAAGAAAATACTTTCATCATCATTCAACACTTTCAGCTCACTCACACATAATCACTGTTTTTGCAGAGGTGCCCAGGATACAACAGCTTAGAAGTATATACGTATAAAAATACACAATATATCCCTCCAAACTGCCAATATCCCAAACCCCTCCTTTAGAGTGCAGGCATTGTGCTTCCCATTTCCAGGACTCCAGTCTGGTTATATAAAATAACCGATTTCCCTGAATCCCTTCACTAAATATTACCCTTCTCACACTCCAACAGATAGTCAAGTCCCAAATACCATTTGTCTCCATTCACTCCTATCGAACACGCTCACGCATGCCTGCTGGAAGTCCAAACCCCTCGCCCACAAAACCTCCCTTAGCTCTTCCTTCCAACCATACCCCGCTTTCCTTCCCCTACAGATTTAAATGCTCTCCATGTCATTCTACTTTGATTCATTCTCTCTAAATGACTAAACCACCTCAACAACCCCTCTTCAGCCTTCTGACTAATACAGTGGACCCCCGGTTAACGATATTTTTTCTCTCCAGAAGTATGTTCAGGTGCCAGTACTGACCGAATTTGTTCCCCTAAGGAATATTGTGAAGTAGATTAGTCCATTTCAGACCCCCAAACATTCACGTACAAACGCACTTACATAAATACACTTACATAATTGGTCGCATTCGGAGGTGATCGTTATGCGGGGGTCCACTGTACTTTTATTAACTCCATACCTTCTCCTAATTTCCACACTCCAAATTTTCTGCATAATATTTACACCACACATTGCCCTTAGACAGGACATCTCCACTGCCTCCAAGTGCCTCCTCGCTGCTGCATTCACAACCCAAGCTTCTCACCCATATAAGAGTGTTGGTACTACTATACTTTCATACATTCCCTTCTTTGCCTCCATAGATAACGTTTTTTGTCTCCACATATACATCAACGCAAAACTCACCTTTTTTCCCTCATCACTTCTATGATTAACCTCATCCTTCATAAATCCATCCGCCGACACGTCAACTCCCAAGTATCTGAAAACATTTACTTCTTCCATACTCTCCTCCCAATTTGATATCCAATTTTTCTTATCTAAGTTCAATTTGATACCCTCATCACCTTACTCTTTTCTATGTTCACTTTCAACTTTCTACCTTTACACACACTCCCAAACTCGTCCACTAACCTTTGCAATTTTTCTTTAGAATCTCCCATAAGCACAGTATCATCAGCAAAAAGCAACTGTGTCATTTCCCATTTTGTATTTGATTCCCCATAATTTAATCCCACCCCTCTCCCGAACACCCTAGCATTTACTTCCTTTACAACCCTATCTATAAATATATTAAATAACCATGGTGACATTACACATCCCTGTCTAAGACCTACTTTTACCGAGAAGTAGTCTCCCTCTCTTCTACACACCCTAACCTGAGCCTCACTATCCTCATAAAAACTCTTTACAGCATTTAGTAACTTACCACCTATTCCATATACTTGCAACATCTGCCACATTGCTCCCGTATCCACTCTATCATATGCCATTTCTAAATCCATAAATGCAATGAAAACTTCCCTACCTTTATCTAAATACTGTTTACATATATGCTTCAATGTAAACACTTGATCTACACATCCCCTACCCACTCTGAAACCTCCCTGCTCATCCACAATCCTACATTCTGTCTTACCTCTAATTCTTTCAATTATAACCCTACCATACACTTTTCCTGGTATACTCAGTAAACTTCTTTCTTTCTTTCAACACACCGGCTGTATCCCACCGAGGCGGGGTGGCCCAAAAGGAAAAACGAAAGTTTCTCCTTTTGCATTTAGTAATATATACAGGAGAAGAGGTTACTAGCCCCTTGCTCCCGGCATTTCAGTCGCCTCTTACAACACGCATGGCTTACGGAGGAAGAATTCTGTTCCACTTGCCCATGGAGGACTCAGTAAACTTATTCTTCTATAATTTTTACAATCTCTTTTGTCTCCCTTCCCTTTATATAAAGGGACTATACATGCTCTCCGCCAATCCCTAGGTACCTTCCCCTCTTCCATACATTTATTAAACAAAAGTACCAACCACTCCAACACTATATCCCCCCTGCTTTTAACATTTCTGTCATGATCCCGTCAGTTCCAGCTGCTTTACCCCCTTTCATTCTACGTAATGCCTCACGCATTAGAACTGGAAATAGTTTGAAATTGAACTCAAAGTAGCAGAATGTTCAGTTTTTTCCGATATTCCACAGGACAAAAATTACATCACTCATCCAAACGCTTCCAACTGGTTGGTCTAATACACATTCATGAATGTGCTGACATTATTTATACAATTATTACAATAATGAAGTAGTCTATATAACAGTTAATCTATTTTTTGCATAAATAAAAATTCAAAATGGAAAGCAAGTGTAATATAGGAGAGGCCTGGGGTCATAACTGATGAACAGAGTAAATATTCTTTTAGTGTGAGGAATGTCTACATTGCTTATTATGAACCCTCTTTTTAAATTGGCATTTTTTTAATTTTGTGACAAATTGGCCAAATTACCAATTTATGATTACTATTGGGCAGTTGAATAGTTAAATGGGCAGTTTCTTGTACTCATTCGATAGAATGGAAGGCATACTAATGAAATATTTAAGACTTTGGTCAGCTGAAACATGGAATTGGCCTAAAAAGGGACTCATTGGGTGAAATCACCAACACACAAATATTGTTGAGGCCACTAACCACTAACTTTGTGAAAGCATAATTCCATAAGTTTTCTGTCAAATTACCTTTGAAAAAAGATTATAATTTCAGAAGAAATATTTTTTTTTTTGTGGGGGGGGGATTCTTGGAACCTGAGAGCAATTTTCAAATCAGGGGCCTGGACCCCTAAAAGGGCTAATAAGTAGGAAATATACTAAAAAGTAACAGAAAAATTTTAAGAAAGTTTTTGCCACTCTTTAAATTTACACCACTATTCAAATTATAGCTTTTCATATCAGAAAATTATAATGACAGTTGTAATGGAATAGGGCTCAAACATATGACAAGCCAGTCCTAAAACAAGCAAGAAATTGCAGTGTGCTATGTCAGTCTAGTTAGATGAATCATATTAGGGCAGCATGGTACAGTGGGTAGTGCACTGGCCAGCTAGTCTTAAAACTGGCTTGCCATGAGTATGAGCCCCACTCTCTTCAGTGAACATTGTTCTTTGTTATGCATTATGTGAGGATCAAAAATAAAAGTGATGCTTCTCTTCATATTTTGAGTAATTTTTCAAAGTTTTTGTTATATACAGTGGCACCCTGAGTTTCGTACAGCTCCCAACTCAAACAATTATGTAAGTGTATTATTGTAAGTGCTTTTGTAAGTGTATTTTTGGGGGTCTGAAATGGACTAATTTAATTTACATTATTCCTTAGGGAACAAATTCCTTTGGTAACATCACTCAAACAGCCTTCTGAAACGAATTATCACCCAAACTTGGGGTACCACTGTACTCATAAAAGATATATAATGTCACTCTGGCTCTACTATAAAAATACATCCATTTTATAAATTTCATTAAAAATATGAAAAAATATGATAAAATGATAAACTTCATTTCTATAAAGAATGGTTTTCAATTGGTTTAGAAAAAGTGATTTTATTGACATACTGTACTTTATAGCAAGCTGCTTTGTGCACAGCATTTCGGGCAGCCTTAGAATAACTTATAACTACTACTGCAGTTTTTGCAACAATAATTTGTTGGAAGTTTTAGTAAGACAATTTGCTATAACATTTGTGGAGGTTATTATGAATGTTGGTCATATACAAATGCAGATACTAATCTAAATTTCAGCATTACTGCAAAGGACATAAAACAAATTGAAGGCACAAAGAATGCATAGCATCTCAAGCAAAAGTGCATATTATTGCCCCAGTCCCCATATCAAGTTAATATGGACTTTTACAAAAAAAATTAGATTTGCTTAACCCTTAAACTGTCTAAATGTAGATCGACGTTCACGTGCGTAGCACTCCAAACGTAGATCTACGTTTTATTTTACATGCTTTCAACCTTGGAACGATAGGCCTGAGTTGCCTAGACAAGAGAAAATGGGTCTGTGCACTCAGTGTCCGCAGTATGACAAAATTTGGGGATGCCAAGAAAAATGTGCTCTTCATTTTAAACAAAAAAAAAGAAACAATTTTTTTTTCCAAAAAATATTCAGAGCGCTATGCAAGTGAACGTAGATCTATGTTTGGACAGTTTAAGGGTTAAAGTAAACCACTAATATTACATCTAGAAGATTACCACCCCCAGTCTGCATCTTGAGTTATAACTTGGGATCTTATGGGAAAATGATTGGCTTGATGCAATTTGTTTTGCTTGACGAACCATTCTTATGGTTCATATCTCAGGCATTAAAAAGGGGATGACTGTACTTTGCATAGTTTGCATATCAATGAGCAGCAAATGTGGCATTATGAACAGTTAACTTGAGGCTGCATAAAAAATTTCCAAAACTTTATGCATAACTTATTTTAAGGTGAGCAATTTCTGGGTTGAAAATTATTAGCATTAGTGTATCAATATAATAATTGTTGGTTGAATCCATGAGTGCATACAGGAATACCATTGGTCCGTGTCAGCAGAAATTAAGTGTTTCCATTTGCCAGAACACCCAAATTTGTGAAACTGATGAGACTGGGTTATATGGCAAAGGTTTGTGAAATAACATTTTGGCTAAGTAGACTAAAGGAGAGAGCGTCAGGAAAGAGGAACTTTCACCTTTAAGTTTTACTACACCTGGTAGTCACAGAACCAAGGAACTATGCACATACTATCTCTTGCCTACTCTTAACTCAGAGAATGCTTGCTTTACATGTGATATATTTGTTACAGAAACCGGTTATTTTTATATAGCCGGACTTGAGTCCTGGAAATGGGAAGTACAGTGTCTGCACTCTAAAGGAGGGGTTCGAGATATTGGCAGTTTGGAGGGATATGTTGTATATCTTTATACGTATATGCTTCTAAGCTGTTGTGTTCTGAGCACCTCTGCAAAAACAGTGATTATGTGTGAGTGAGGTGAAAGAGTTGAATGATGATGAAAGTATTTTCTTTTTGGGGATTTTCTTTCTTTTGGGTCACCCTGCCTCGGTGGGAGACGGCTGACTTGTTAAAAAAAAAAAAAAAAGTTCTGGAGTTGGAAAGTACAGTGCATGCCCTCTGAAGGATAGGTGAGGATGTTGCAGTTTGTAGGGAAATCTGAATTATGGATTATGATTATGAATTATGGAGTCCTAGAATCTGTATTGATAAAGCCACTGGATGGCGAAACGTCTACTACAATAAAGATATCCAGATGTTGCACATGTGTCTTAACTTTCATGTTTACAAACCGCTGGCAACCAATTATTGAATGAATGATACTGAATATGTCCTCCTTTGATGGTAAATGACCATTGTGGTAAAAAAATAAAGATATAAAAGTGTAATAATCTAAAGAGTGATGCATTGGCAACAGACCTTTATACAGGGTTTCAAAAACTGATGTGACAGGGCTTAATCACTCCCTCATCCTGAATGTTGAAAATTAAGAGGCGAGATATTCCTCCACCTCCTTTTTCCTGCAGATCTAAATAAGCACAGTAATTACACACACAGACCAAAAAAATAATAATATATAGACAAAAATATGTGGGTTTGCTTATTCCATTCATGGATTCTACCACTACAGAATAGTCATTCATCTGACTTTTTTCAGAGTATCTTAATGATCTGGGCCTAAGTGTATTTATCAGACATGACTCCTGACTTAAAGGCAGTTTGACATTTTTATGAGAAAGTGTATTCATTATATAGTAATTGCTATTGAATATTTACTTATTTAATCAGTGTACTAAGTATCTCAATATTATGGCATTTTTATTATGTAATAGAAATTTCATTATAAAGATTATGATTTTGCTATTATTTATTGACTTTTATGATCTAACTTCAGGTCACTACTTGTACATAGAGACAGATTCAGTCTTAGTGTCTTCTTCGGCTGTTTTAGAATCGTCTCTCATACCCTCTGGAACCTATTGCTTCGAGTTCTACTATTCAATGTATGGTAAAGATATTGGTGGTAAGTAATTTTGTAATTGAATTTATGTGGCAATCATTGGAAGGAAGTAAAATATAGATAAATAACAGGACACAGGTCTTCCTTGCTTTTTGCAGATTCACTTTATCCTATGTCTTAATTCTGTCATTATCTCATCATATGTGATCCTCGCTGCTGCATTAACCACCCAAGCTTCACACCCATATAAGAATGTTGGTACTACTATACTTTCATACATTCTATGGAGGCAAAGAAGGGAATGTATGAAAGTATAGTAGTACCAACACTCTTATATGGGTGTGAAGCTTGGGTGGTAAATGCAGCAGCAAGGAGATGGTTGGAGGCAGTGGAGATGTCCTGTCTAAGGGCAATGTGTGGTGTAAATATTATGCAGAAAATTCGGAGTGTGGAAATTAGGAAAAGGTGTGGAGTTAATAAAAGTATTAGTCAGAGGGCAGAAGAGGGGTTGTTGAAGTGGTTTGGTCATTTAGAGAGAATGGATCAAAGTAGAATGACATGGAAAGCATATAAATCTACAGGGGAAGGAAGGCGGGTAGGGGTCGTCCCTCGAAAGGGCTGGAGAGAGGGGGTAAAGGAGGTTTTGTGGGCAAGGGCTTGGACTTCCAGCAAGCGTGCGTGAGCGTGTTAGATAGGAGTGAAATGGAGACGAATGGTACTTGGGACATGACGATCTGTTGGAGTGTGAGCAGGGTAATATTTAGTGAAGGGATTCAGGGAAACCGGTTATTTTCATATAGTCGGACTTGAGTCCTGGAAATGGGAAGTACAATGCCTGCACTTTAAAGGAAGGGTTTGGGATATTGGCAGTTTGGAGGGATATGTTGTGTATCTTTATATGTATATGCTTCTAAACTGTTGTATTCTGAGCACCTCTGCAAAAACAGTGATTATGTGTGAGTGTTGTGAAAGTGTTGAATGATGATGAAAGCATTTTCTTTTTGGGGATTTTCTTTCTTTTTTGGGTCACCCTGCCTCGGTGGGAGACGGCCGACTTGTTGAAAAAAAAAAAAATATGATTTACAGTTTTATGGGATTGGACCAGTTCCAATAGCATATTGAGGATCTTTATTATGTATAATTAAGTGTTTATGGCATGATTGAGCTTAGTACTACTGCCAAGGTCTTGGGTTTGCACACACACATACTTCATCACAAGGATTTACACACAAACACACACACATGCACGCATGCACACACGCACACTCATTCTACATCACATGAAGGTTTACAGACATGCACAGATACTACATCAAATGATGATTTATCAGTTTTAGTGGTCAGAGAACCACAGTTTTTAGCCTTAACTTATTTTTTGTTTTTCTTTTATTTCTTGCTTCTGCTTTTCTTTCTTACATGGCAAACTGCCAACAGTAGTGAAAAGAAAAGACATGTTGCAGAATAAGCTTTTATTGAGACAATATTTTGTCCTCTGTAAAGTGATAATTGTTGTAAAATGAATTATAGCGTTTTTTCACCTTCAAATCCATATAAAAGCCATATAATATGTTTACACTATCATATATTAAGTGAGCAATATAGCTAGGCCTAAAAAATGCATATACAGTACACACATTACTTACCTTAAAATATTTTCATCCTTAGCTTTTAGTGAGTGGTGAATATAGGTATTGTAGGAAGTCTGAATAAATGAAGAATGGGTATAATTGAAAACCACTGTATTAGTGAAACACAGTAAAGTAAAGTGCTGTAAGACAGAGCCTACTTGTACTTTAATTTACCTTACTGAAAATATCTATAATACAGTAGACCGTCTTTTAACGCTGTAGTTACATTCCTGAAAACGCTGTGTTAGACAAAATCATGTGAGACAAACTGAAGAACTTATGGGAAAAATAGGGTTACGTTCCTAGGAGCCCCAAAAAAGTCAAACAACTTTTTTTAGACCTCCAGATCTTACAAAATAAAAGTGAATATGTAATTGTAAGTCATTGTTGTGATATATTATTGCTTAAGACTACAACTGCAATAGAAATAATAGTATTTCTTATCTTAAATTGTGGGTGATGGTGTTTATGGATGATTGTGAAGAGTGGAAATGGATGGTGTGGCCCTACTGGGCTGAGGTGGATGGTTGTTGGCAGAAGTGAATGGTAGAGGCTCTGGTACTGAAGTCGATGGTTGTATTGGAGTGTACATAAATTCTGTAATGGATCTCTGGGCTCTTTTACCCTACAGTACATTATACAGCTGATAGTAAGGCATCATCAGCTGGTCTCGACCCTATTTCAAAGCACTGCTTCTAGATTTGTTATTGTATAATTATACTAGTAACCCCTTTTCCTGTAAAGATTACTAAAAAGAATAAGAAGAAGAAAATTGTCAAAGTGTGAAGTCTGAATGTGCATGGATGTTGTGCAAATGATAAGAAAGAGATGATTGTGGATGTTATGAATGAGAAGAAACTGGATGTCCTGGCTTTAAGTGAAACAAAGCTGAAGGGGGTGGGAGAGTTTGAATGGAGAGGAATAAATGGGATTAGGTCATGGGTTTCAAATAGAGTTAGAGCTAAAGAAGGAGTAGCAATAATGTTGAAGGATAAGCTATGGCAGGAAAAGAGGGACTACAAATGTATAAATTCAAGGATTATGTGGAGTAAAATAAAGATTGGATGTGAAAAGTGGGTTATAGTAAGCGGTATGCACCTGGAGAAGAGAGAAGTGTAGAGGAGAGAGAGAGATTCTGGGAAATGTTGAGTGAATGCGTGGGGAGTTTTGAATCAAGTGTGAGAGTAATGGTGGTTGAGGATTTCAATGCTAAAGTGGGTAAAATTTTATGGAGGGAGTAGTAGGTAAATTTGGGGTGCCAGGGGTAAATGTAAATGGGAGCCTTTAATTGAGCTATGTGTTTGAAAGAAATTTTTGGTAATAAGTAATACATATTTTTATGAAAAAGAGGATAAATAAATATACAAGGTATGATGTAGCACATAATGAAAGTAGTTTGTTAGATTATGTATTGGTGGATAAAAGGTTGATGGGTAGGCTCCTGGATGTACATGTTTATAGAGGGGAAACTGATATATCGGATCATTATTTAGTTGTAGCTACAGTTAGAGTAAGAGGTAGATGGGAAAAGAGGAAGGTGGCAACAACAAGTAAGAGGGAGGTGAAAGTGTATAAACTAAGGGAGGAGGAAGTTCGGGCGAGATATAAGCGACTATTGGCAGAAAGGTGGGCTAGTGCAAAGATGATTAGTGGGGGGGTTGAAGAGGGTTGGAATAGTTTTAAAAATGCAGTATTAGAATGTGGGGCAGAAGTTTGTGGTTATAGGAGGGTGGGGGCAGGAGGAAAGAGGAGTGATTGGTGGAATGATGAAGTAAAGGGTGTAATAAAAGAGAAAAAGATAGCTTATGAGAGGTTTTTACAAAGCAGAAGTGTTATAAGAAGAGCAGAGTACAGTGGACCCCCGCATAACGATCACCTCCGAATGCGACCAATTATGTAAGTGTATTTATGTAAGTGCGTTTGTACATGTATGTTTGGGGGTCTGAAATGGACTAATCTACTTTACAATATTCCTTATGGGAACAAATTCGGTCAGTACTGGCACCTGAACATACTTCTGGAGTGAAAAAATATCGTTAACCGGGGGTCCACTGTATATGGAGAGTAAAAGAAAGGTGAAGAGAGTGGTGAGAGAGTGCAAAAGGAGAGCAGATGAAAGAGTGGGAGAGGCACTGTCAAGAAATTTTAATGAAAATAAGAAAAAATTTTGGAGCGAGTTAAACAAGTTAAGAAAGCCTAGGGAAAGTATGGATTTGTCAGTTAAAAACAGAGTAGGGGAGTTAGTAGATGGGGAGAGGGAGGTATTAGGTAGATGGCGAGAATATTTTGAGGAACTTTTAAATGTTGACGAAGAAAGGGAGGCGGTAATTTCATGCACTGGCCAGGGAGGTATACCATCTTTTAGGAGTGAAGAAGAACAGAATGTAAGTGTGGGGGAGGTACATGAGGCATTACGTAGAATGAAAGGGGGTAAAGCAGCTGGAACTGATGGGATCATGACAGAAATGTTAAAAGCAGGGGGGGATATAGTGTTGGAGTGGTTGGTACTTCTGTTTAATAAATGTATGAAAGAGGGGAAGGTACCTAGGGATTGGCGGAGAGCATGTATAGTCCCTTTATATAAAGGGAAAGGGGACAAAAGAGATTGTAAAAATTTAGAGGAATAAGTTTACTGAGTATACCAGGAAAAGTATACGGTAGGGTTATAATTGAAAGAATTATAGGTAAGACAGAATGTAGGATTGCGGATGAGCAGGGAGGCTTCAGAGTGGGTAGGGGATGTGTAGATAAAGTGTTTAAATTGAAGCATATATGTGAACAGTATTTAGATAAAGGTAGGGAACTTTTTATTGCATTTATGGATTTAGAAAAGGCATATGATAGAGTGGATAGAGGAGCAATGTGGCAGATGTTGCAAGTATATGGAATAGGTGGTAAGTTACTAAATGCTGTAAAGAGCTTTTATGAGGATAGTGAGGCTCAGGTTAGGGTATGTAAAAAGAGAGGGAGAATACTTCCCGGTAAAAGTAGGTCTTAGACGGGGATGTGTAATGTCACCATGGTTTTTAATATATTTATAGAGGGGGTTGTAAAAGAAGAAAATGCTAGGGTGTTCGGGAAGAGGGGTGGGATTAAATTAGGGGGAATCAAATTAAAAATGGGAACTGACACATTTTACTTTTTGCTGATGATACTGTGCTTTTTGGAGATTCAAAGAAAAATTGCAAAGGTTAGTGATGAGTTTGAGAATGTGTGTAAAGGTAGAAAGTTGAAAGTGAACATAGAAAAGAGTAAGGTGATGAGGGAAATCAAATGATTTAGATAAAAAAAAAATTGGATATAAAATTTGGGGGAAAGGGAGGAGTATGGAAGAAGTAAATGTTTTCAGATATGTGGGATTGATGTGTCGGCCCAGATGGGTTTATGAAGGATGAGGTTTAATCATAGAATTGATGAGGGAAAAAGGGTGAGTGG